TAAGAACTATGTGTTGCCCAATGAATGCATAATTCAGCAGAAAATCTGTCGAAATCATGAAATTGACATTTTCACGAATTCGGCAAAACATAGGCTAGGTTTAAATTCACTCGAGTTGTTATATAATTTTCTTTTAAGGAAAAAAATTTACTTCTATAATATACACAACCACAATACGTTTCGACAATGCGCTCCAAAAAAACGTTTTCATAATACCTACCTATTGGTATTCTATCGCTTGTGACGAACAGCCGACGCAAACCCAGTTATGCACGGTTAAACATACATTTATACATTATACAGATATATGTGCGAGTTATCAGAATTTTATGTGTAAGCGGTTAGCTCATATATAAACGCGAAGCACAGAACATTTTATAATAGTGAAGTACTCGTACTACAAAAAATTTATGTACGATAATAAAATGTATAGATGCCCTTTTTGAGTGTCTTTAGTGGTCAACTTATAAAATTCAAATCAGAACTACTTCATGTTTTCTAATGCTTTTATGACATAAAATTCCCATCACCCTGTGCCTAGTATATACTGATTAGTGATTAAAACTGTACATGCAATATAAAGGGCGACGAAATCGAAATCCACTCAACCTGTAGTCATCTAAAAAGTGAATTTGTTGATGCGTGTATACGTATGTATGTACGACGCATAAAATAAAAACGGGAGCGATATCACGATTTTTACGGTGCCAAAAAAAAGAAAGAAAAAATATAAAATCTTGGGTGATCTAGGACCACACCCCAACAGACGTAAGACTTTTTAATTAGATTATTTGTTATAGCCCATTAATATTTATAGCCGGAAGCACGTGTGTACATACATCAGTCTCGTCCTCGGTATTGGCAGCGGAGGCATGACGCCAACGATTGTACCACGACAAATTATCGTAACAGTTTTCAATTGCGATATAATGTGTTGCTACGAGAGCGCACAACATGAACACTACGTCCATTGATGAGAAGATAACGAGGCGGGCTTTTCATTTCAAGTCTTAAGTTAGTTTCATACCTTCCATTAATAATAATTTATTCAACGGTAGTTCGCAGTACCTACCCCCGCACAGAGCCATATTTAGCCAATATTTAAATATTTGACGCCCGAAAATGACAGTAAAATATCACCCTTTCGGAGTGTTCAGTGTCAAACGGAAAAAAAATCATATACATAGATCAAACCATACTTTTAATATTTTACATAAAATAAGTCGATATGAAGATATATATTACAATAGTACATCTTTTAGTTGTATAATAATGTAAACAAAAAAAAAATTATAATAATACATGTTTCTTGACACGTGTAGAAACACGTTTGCAGAAACGTTGAGAGCAATCAACTTTGCCACATCATTTAATATTATCTAATAACGATACCTACCAGATTTACGGATATCCAAATACGAACATTTCGATATCCGAACTAATGATAAGAAAACTTGGTTATTGGTGAAATCATTTAACAAATAAGTAGGTTTATATATAAATTTAGATAATCAAATTTTATTGAAATTTAACAATTATGTATTTTATTAAATATTACAAAGAAAAATTGATAGTTAAAAAATAATATATAGCTATCGTCATTCCTCAAGTAGGAGAATTTCATCCAGATCGATTAAACCATCTATACCTACTTCTAAAGTATAAACTTAAACAAGATTAAATAATTTACGTTATATTTTAATAAGGAAATATAAAGTATTATGAATGTACACGAAAAATGAATATATAATTATAGAATTATGAAAATAAAATAGTTTATATTAAACAAACACATAACAGTAAATATAGCTATATGCTTACAACAAAAGTTAAAATCTAAGAGTGATAGACTAACTGCAACAAAATAAAAGAATGATTTCAAATTTATATTTAATAGTGAACAGTAGGTATTAAGTCACGTAATTTTAAACTTAAAAGATTTATTTTAAATAGCTTTAAGGGTGGTTTTTTTTTTTGTAGGTATTATTATTTGGTTAACAGTATTAAGTAGGTAGTGTAACATAATAACTTAGACCGTATATGGTTTCAATTTCAGAATATATTTGATAGGTAAACAAGTTAAGTATATTATCTATCACAACACATGTAAATTATAATATACAACAAATTGGTATTGTACACATAAAATAATACCATCGAAGATTTATAAATCTATTTTATATGGAATATCTAATAAATATTCAATAAACTTTGGAAATTTAACGTCTGATAAGTCAATTTAACACAACGTAAATTGAGAACTATAGAGATTTTGTAAAGCAAGTTCTACATAGTGCTACGTCGATTCTTGGCAGGTTTAGGTTTTATTTACATTATAAAGATAAATTATTCATTGTTGTATGAATGTTTAGTACATTTAAATATAAGTAACTTCTCTACGACTCCTACAACTGTTGGCAATATTTTTACACGAAAACGTTTTAATCGAGACATACTTTTACTTCACAGCTTTAATAAATCTAAACCCCTTAGTGTACCTAAGCCCAAATTAAATAACGAATTATTACTATTGATAATGGGTTTTTGGCATACGAGAGGCGATTTCGTAATGAATTAATGAGTGTGAAAGTAATAAATTGATCGAATATTATATATAATAACAATAGTGTAAACAGCCAACTTTGTTTTGCCAACCTCACAAATATAGATCATAGGGCCCATACTAGAACAAAAACAAATAATTTATATTCAATTCGATTTAGGTCAGCACAGAGTAAAACTTAAGTAAATTTGTTCAGTCCAGTTATTGATTATACACAATAAATATATATATTCGATCTGAAGTGTATAAAAATAATTTAATGGCTCTAAAAACACTAGGTACATTTTAGTTTAACCTGATAAAAAGAGTACATAGTCACACTTTTAAAATTACAGTTTTTTCATTAATACGTTAACTAAATATGCTTTATACATAGAAATATATGTATTCCTACATAAAAAAAATTTAAAAAAAAAAACATATTTCATAAACCACTTCCAAGTGTATTTACTGTTTTAGCGACTTCAAATACAAAACAAATTTCACATATTTACACTTTTATTTATTATAGTTTGTTGGTCTTATACGAATGTGCAGCTATAACGGCGAAGATGAATACACTGTAATATAGTGATACTTGGCAATGTACTTAGAATCTAAAGCACCACGCAGCATGCCACAAGCGGTTTGAAATTTTCTTTCTTTGATTAATTTTACACTCACGTCAAAACAGTAACCCAATATCACTCTCGTAAATCCACTCTACCACACACTAACGTCTGTTCGTTATTGTCAATCATTCAGAGATCAACACGAATTGGCAGAATTTAATTTTTTTTTTAATTTTAAATAAAAACTCACCCATATTTTTATCATTAACTACTAAATTATATACTAAAAATAATTTTTAAAAACGAGTTGTTAATAACAAAAACTATAATATGTATGGAATTTAGACAAGTCTAATCAAATTAAATTTTTCTAAGTACATATATATGTGCATTGGAACATGGTAGTTAAACATAAAAAATTTAATTGGAATGAATATCCATACAATTTATTAAAATAATAATTTCTGAAATATATGCAGAGTAATATAAACAATAAATATATATTATATAATATTGAACAAATTTTTTTGTTGATAAAACACAATTGGCTTTTAGATTTTTTTATAATTATCACATACATAATAAATCTAAAAAACACTTTGACTGTAATATAATAAATAAATAATATTTTGACAAGAAAAACACTAATTATTAAAGACTAAACAAGACTAGATGTGTTAAATACATTAATTGAATGGTAATAGTGTAAAAAATAATTGTCTTTTTAAAATAATCTATAACAATGATATAATTATATTATAAATTATGTTGTAGACTATAATACTATTGAATATAATATTAATATTACATTAAAATGTAAGTCATGTTATAATTACTTCTAGATTGGACCCTAGGTTTTATAATAACTCTAACGTATTATATTAAGGTACATTCATATTAGAGTATTTGATTAAATTCAATGTTGAATTAGTTGGTGTTCACAATTACTAAAATAATATAACATTCTATTTACAGGATTTACCTATAATATAAGATATGAAAATATTGTATGATAAACTTAATCTACAATAATAAAGCAAAAAAATATTAATAGGAACTTAAATAAATTACAAATATGGACAGTAAAATATAATTTTTTTTTTTAGTACATTTTGTTTTTTACTTTGATAAATGATAAATATTTGTCAACTAATAAAATTGAAGGTTTAGCCTAATGGAAATAAAAAAAATTAGGGTACAAAATATCAGTATACAGTTTCACCAAAAATCTTATTTCTTTTTTTTTATATTTTATATTAAATTGTTTTATTTCATTTAAAATCAAAACTCTATAGTTGGAATAATAACTGACAATGTAAATGAATGAAAAATTAGAAAATATTCCTATAAATTGTTTAATAATTTATATAAAACGCTAAAAGCATCAAATATTGAAAAAGTTTTTGTAAATAAAAAATCAAACATGTACAAGAAATATGTTTAAATTTAAATACCTAACTAACTGCAAATTGTTACAATAAAGAAAATAATTGACTACAAATAAATTTAAACTAGAATTTGGAAGAAATGGGAAATATGACTGAAATTGAGAAACTACATGAGTAAAACAATAGATATAAGTACATTAAAAATAATAAATGGTATTAATTAATAAATACTAAATTAAATAGTAATAGTTGGCAAATTCAAAACTAATAAATATATAGTTTAAGACAATCATCAATGTTTTAATTTTTCTGGAAAATTCGAATAAACCAACACCCTGTTTAGAAAATTTTGTCTTTAATCTCTAGAAAATGAAGAAACTCTATTTGATGTTTAAGATAGGAATCTACAAAATTAAATAAAACTAATGGAACTAAAAAACCTAAATAAATAGTAATTTTACATTTCAACATATGATGTAACAACATAAACTAATTTGGATTTAGTTAACACATGATCAATAATTGGAAATCAAAATTTAAAGATATATAACATTTATATATAACTCGTGATTTTAAAGAATAGGAGTAAACATATTATTGTTTATCAAATACTGAAACATAGCTGATGGATTAAATGTATACTTGAATAAAAATAGGAATCTACATAAACACATTGATTCCCTGTAATAGGTAATTTTCATAATTTTTAACACTACTTATAATAAAAAGGAAACTATTAATCTACCCTCAATATTGGATAATCAAATAAAATATTTTAAAATTGGTTGTACGCTATAATGTTTTCCTACTTGTTTTATTGAAATTGGCAATCAATAATTTTGGTCGTTTTGGTAATACTTATCAACAATGGAAAATGTGAATCAGTATCATACAAAGAGTTAAAGAGAACCTGTTTAGAATGACGCTCCCATACAAGAGCGTTGTAGTTTTGTTGCACAGTGCAGACTAAACCCTCTTGCTGCGCCATGTTAATGAACTCGTACAATGTAGTTCCTCGTTTTGGTGCCGCAACCAATGCAATTCCATCAAATGCTAATGATGATGCAATAGTATGCACCAAATCATCACGAGCTTCATCAAAAAATAGACAGTCAGCTGCTAGTATCACATCATAATGACATAAGTTTGCAGGTCTTTGGTCCCATTTCAACACCTAATTAGCGAATATTACCATTAGTTCCAGTATAAAATGAAAACTAAAATATTGTCTTGTTCATTTCAGGCAACTAAACATCTTCAAAATCATGCTTTGCTTATAAATGAAAAATAATGGATATTGTTTGACTACAACTAATTAAGTAACACAAACAAACGGTGAGTATGAATATAAATAAATAGATAAATAATATTGAGAAAAAAAGAAATAGAAATTATCAATTAGATAATTATTGAAATCAATTAAACATAGATAAAATAATAAAGTAATAAAAATCTATAAATATATTAATCACAGAAGGTTGAAATAATAAGAAAAAAAAATCAAATTAACAAACGTGTATTAATGAAAAAATAAATCTACACAAAATGGTACTTGTTTCACTTAAAAACATAAATGTTTTATTATAACTAACCGAACAGGTAACTTTTGTTGAGAACACATTTTTCTTAAGTATACGTTCAACATTGTATACAGAATTCGGATTGCCATCAGTCAAATGAACATCACTACAAAAACCATATAGAGCTGCCATTATACCAGCCAAACAGCTCATACCGCCACCCAGCTCCAGTACAGTCTTATCTCTGAATAAATCCAGGTTTGATAGAACATAATAAGCTAATACCTCTTCGGATGGCCATATTCGAACATTGCCGGTATTGTTAAAACCCATGAGTTCTTCGGGTGTGATAATTATGGGAGATCGACATACATTAGCTGAGAAATTATTGCTTTGAACACAAGCAGAATATTTATACCATTCAGTACTGATACATTCAATATTAAAGAGATCATAGCTTATTTGTGCTGCAAATATTTGGTCTTGACATTTTTTACTGACTGTATTTGCTAATAATTTCCATCTATTACGTGCCCGTTCTTTAGCATTCATTATTCAACATATTATTATTAGTTTTCACTTAAATTAATGGTTTATTTTTTTGACTAGATATATCACAGAAAATGTCCTGCAAGAAACAGGAAAATAAAATAGTATGTATATTACTTATAACTAATCTAATCATTATCATGTAAAAATTATTTTATGTTAAGTCCAAGATCTTGTTTAGATTAACAATAATTACGTATAATATATAAGTAAATTATAAACTGATACAAAATCTATTACATTTTTCCATTGTTAAGTACTGAAATTAATATTTTAACTATCATAATAATTATGGAATGCATATACTGCAACTGTGCACTATTATGCAAATTTAATTGTGAACAATTTATGAACAAGCTTGTGAAATAAGGATTAATTGAAAACTACTTGATAAACACCATATTACAAGTGTTTATAGGTAGCTAGTTGTACACCATGTTTTACTAATATTCGACACTAATCGAATAAGCATAGTGCATCTATACGTTAAATACTATTCAGCTGATGTTATATCTGATACGCCTATACGCCACCGTTCTATATGAATGCAAAAATTGTTTTTTTCAAAGTCGCTGAAACGTAAATACGTATTAAAGACCTATGCATCTAGATTTCATCTCATAACCAGTTGTTTTTATTTTAATTTATTACCCGAAAACTTATAGTTACAATTGATTATATTTCCACTGAAAACCGTTTACGGGGTAAAGATTCAAAATGAAACACGTCGAACAATAATATCATTAATTTAAACAATGACATGAGCACAGCCGATTGGGTTGCGCCGAATGGTAGTACACTACAGACAAGAGATACTTACATTTTTGGTGTTTACGTACGTTTGGCAACTGGCGGGCGAAAAGCGTTTCGACGTCTTACATGGTCAGCGTTCGAACGGTACGCGTTTACGCGAACGGGAGCGTTTTAAAACAAACGTTAAAAAAAAAAATAAATAAAAATCCACTGGTCGGATAAAAAAAAAAAATAATAATTACTATCTCGGAGTAGAAACCACTGACCGTTCGGAACGTATGGAGGGGACGGAATATTGATATCCTGGCCATGGTGGCCAACATGACGCCGTGAACATCGCCGCTGAATAGATAACAGACCGCAAAACGCATAATTTTAAATCGTGTTCATAGATAATAAATAAATAAATAAAAATACTATAAATAATAAATAAATAAATAAATAGATAATTTTTATTATCTATGATCGTGTCACGGTAACTCCTCGATATGCCGTTATCATTATTTAAGCCCATCGAGATAGATGAACAATATATATAAGCCTATAATATATACGTGCCTTAAAAATTAAAATACATAATTTTTATAAATATATGGTTGTATCGTGTTCAGGGTATGGGTGTACAAATAGGTGACAAAAATAAAATGGATTTTAAATTAATAAATAAAACCATGAGCTTATTGATGATAAATTATGTCGATATTAGAAATATTTTTAAAAAATTTTAATTACTACTTTATTTTTTTTATATTTAATTCGTTACATTTTTAAACTTACAATAATTAAGTATTCTCGGTTATGTAAATAATATTTTTTCCATTATTTATATCAATTTTTTTCCATTCAATATTCATTTAAATTATTAATACTCTAAATTTATAAATTTAATAGCATGGACATAACTTGAACATTTATTAGAGGGATGGGGGCAATTATATAATTACATGTCTATCGAAAAGGGTTCCGTGGCCAGGGTTGGAATAGCTCTATGGCTGCATCCGAGTTCCGTCCTAAAAATAAAAATGTAATTTAAAGATGTACCAATTCCGCCCCGTGTCATTTCGAATAAATAACAATATCTTATTATTTAGAAACAAAGATCATAAAGATAATATTATATAGCTCTATAGCTCGGCCCGGGCATAATAATTTCGAACGGCCTCAACGGAAATTTATAAGTAGGTACCTAATCAAATTATTGTTTAACTGAAAATGTATCTTTGTAACTCAAAAAACAATATACATACAGGTATATTTAAATATTTTCAGATTTAATGTTATACCTTAAATAAATCTAGTTTACGCAAAATATATTTTATCTATAATATTGATATAATTACAGCATAAAAAATTATTTGATTTAAATATGTTTTTTTTTTTTTGGTATTTGGTCGAAAGGCCGGATCCCGAGAAAGTAAGGGCACTTAGGCAGCTGTCTGGTTTGCCTAGATGGAAGTTTGGAACTACATATTATACGTGAAACTGACGTTAATCACGATCATGATATTCGGTGGGTAATGACTTATAAATATGGAGATTCGTTGTCGGTCTTCTATGTTTACGAATGGATTTCAATAAATATGATAATCAAATAAAAAAATTATATGAACAGTTGGATTCACTGTTTCTGATCTCAAGAAAAGTTAGAAAATGTACGTTAGTTTTTATTAATCCTTTTTTTATACATTTATTCATATTTCTAACCGTTTAATCGTTGTCTTATTAAAGTTAAGCGTTGAACGTTGAATAATTATTGTGATATCCATGTCGATGTAAAAATTAAATGTCATTTTCAATCGGCTCTGTGTAATAATTTATCCATTTTGTACGTTACATTATAAAAATTCAATCTTCTTGAAAATTATAGTTTACCAGAAATCATAAATCTATTCAGAATAAGAATTAGAAATAACAGGTAATATATTTATTCCTTTTGATTGAAAAATGTAATTGTTTCTTAGTTTCATTTTGTAAAATATAGATGAAATAATTTTGGGTTGACAAAAAAATCTTCAAAAAAATCTCTAAAAAATATATATATTTTTCCATGACTACCTAATTAAAAAATAAATTTTAATTTATATCATATAAATAATTTAATGTACCTTGGTAATTGAAGTTGAGAATATAAACATTTTTTTTGTGCTTCCAATTTTAGATTATTCTTTACTATGTTTAATATTTATTTTATTATATTACTCAATCCTACTATTGAACTACCAAACTTTTGAAAGTTGATAATAAATAAACAAGGAACAAATCTAAAAAAAAAATGTATAATACTGCGTGGACGCTAAACTAGATTTATGCCATAAATGTGTTTGTACTCCATAATTTAAACTTACTAATGAATACTGTAAAATTGGGTGAATAGTAACACTTTTGAATAACTTTTAGTATTATAAAGACTTTACTATTTGGGTTACATAGTCGATTTATACATCAAAATACTGGTCTTGCTGAGTTCTTTAAGTATGTTAATTCAAAATAATTTTATTTTAAATAAATCATTTTATACATTTTTTTAAATACTCAGTGTTTATACTTCTTAGTGTCAATAGAACCATTTATGATATTTAAGCACATTTTTCAATTACAACATGGCGGAGAAGAACTAAAAATTGTATGCCATACTAAGGCAATATATATGCCATTTTCAAAGTTTCGAGAAAAATTGCTTTTTCTATATAACTTTGTATTATTTAAGTATTGTATTGAATTAAACTAAAAAATAAATGAAACTTACTTAGTTTTATATGTAGAATCTAAAAAAAAATATTTTTTAACTCTAAACTGTCTAGAACTTGTCTTGAGTACTGATAATAATCATAAACAAGGAAAATTTGTAACTTACCGATTTAAAAACAATTACATTGTAAACGATGATTTTTGATTTTGCTTTTTTTATGAATAAGAAATGGAGTATGTTTGCTATCAATTTTATGAGTATAGAAGTAGAAATAAATGGCAAGGTTTATATAATATAAGCTATAAACCTATAATAATATAATTCATAATCTATAAACCTTGAATAAACAGAGCGTTTCGAGTTTATTGAATTTCGCACTAGAGTATAGATATTCGATTTAATCAAGACTTCTTACTGATAAAACAAATATTCAATTATTAGGACGTCTAAATAATAACTTTCTTGATTTTCTTTTTATTCATCCTGTTATACTGTAACACATATTTTGTATAAACACTTGGTTTATTTGATTAATGTTTTCATGGATTGATATAATAATATTTATTTTTCCATTATAGGTATGAATACATAGACATCTCAAACTGTGAAGCAGTAAAAATTCGTATTCCTATAATATTAACTTTATTAGTAACTAATTTCAATAATACGATACGTTGTGTTGCGATGGACTGCAGCAATATGTCATCAGATAATGGAGGAAAATATTATTCAAATTCTGAAAGATCAAAAGTATTGAAATTGTCTCAATTTGATAACATGCTAATAACATCAAATAGTTGTGCCAACAACAGTAGTCCAATACGTTTTAGCAATCCTCAAGCTCATAGCAGCCCCATCAAGGAAAAAGAATCCAAAAATTTGTTTTTTTTACAGCCTTGTGATTCATTCGAAGCCTATAAGACTTTAAAGAAAGAACCTTTAAACATTAACGAAACTTCTCGCAATCTTCATAAATCGATCAATATTTTGAGTACAAAATCATCTCCAGTCGCTAGATCTATGCATAACATTTCAAATAAAGAAAATACAAATGATTATATGGACAGTTTAAATTCACATCATAATACTATATTCCTTCCGAATCAAGCTGAAAATTTTGAAATTCAATTGCATGATCAAGATAGTTCAAATAAAAATAAAATTAAAGACAGTGAAACATTTAATGCAGAAACAAAAGTTGTTTCTGATAACTCAAAAGTACCATATGATATTACTACATTAAACGAACATACAAAATATAATTATAGATTTTTGAATAAAACTGATTCGTCAGATATTTTTCAAATGGGATTAAACTTTAAATTGTTTCCTAAATATATAAAGCGATACCTTAATAGTTTGGAACTCGACTTTTTACAACTGATGAACGACCGTAATGCAGTTGTTGCGCTTGATAAGCCTAATAAACCGAAAATTAGAGGATTAAAAATTGTTGACGACATTATAAAGAATATTAAGAATATTTTGAAATTAAACATGAATAATAATATTGAAATTAAAACAAGCATAAATAAACCTTTAGCTGTTCAATTTTTAACTGTTGATTTTAATGCTATAAATGTTCTAAATCGTAAATTGGAGGGTGTATACAGAAGAATGAAATCAGTTGGATTGACAATAAATGATAAAACCAAAGAAAATCAAAGTATACATGAAAAATCTGCAACAAATTTAAGTGCACAATATTACAATGATCATTTAGAACTTAGTCATTCCAATCGTTTTCTTACCGATCTTAAACCACTTAAACCTATTGGTACTGTTGATAATATTCCACCGACTGAAAACAAATTATTTGATTTGTCACAACGCATTAGAGAAATAAATCGATCAATCAGTTTATCACCTCCTACAAAAGAAAGCAATGCAGTGTCTAACAAAATAAATACACCATCTCAAGAAAAGTCTTTAGAAAATTACAGTTTGAATAATTTAGTTGATCTACAAGATAAAGAAATTACAATACCAGATATTAATTTACAAGGTACAGAATTCCTTCCTGATACATCGACTCCTGTGAATAATAGTTATTCTAATAACACTCACATGAAAATTGATAATGGTGATCAAGAAGAAAAAACTGAAAACAAATATTTTTTAAGAACATGTCCCAAATCAACTGATCACTTTATTGCACCGTTGAGACCTACTCCAGTTAAAAAGAAATCAAGTCGTGTCAAGACTAACTGTAATGCTGACTTATTTGTTACTAAAGGAACTGGTAAAAAAAAAGTGGTATTCCAGTATAAAGTGCATTCGATGTTCAAAGCTAATTCGAATGAATTAATAAAAAAATTAATTCCAGAAAGTATAGACTGTGAAAATAATAATAAACACAAAGAAATTTCTGTTGATATTTCAAATGTGATACCTAAACAAAATTATAAACCTTGTCGCTGTGGAATATTTCCGTCTCAAGTTCCACCTTCTTGGAATAATTCATTACACAAGGATATACATCAGAATTTGCATAAAATTAAATTTAAAAGTCAAACGGTCATTGATGTGATAAATAAAATTAATGATAACGGATTTCTGTATGATATAATTAATGTAACAACAAATTCTAATAA